TTTTTTTAATGTCTATTACTCTATTTATTAAATTTAAATTTAAAATTTTATTTAAATAATATTTTCACCCAGATGTATGACTTTATTTTATTTAGCCTTTATTTAATTCAAAAATTAAATGATCAAATAAATCAAAAAGTCCACTTAAATGTTAAATCCCTTGCCATATAAGCATGGCATGGCAATATTTTGCCATCCAAGCAGCCAAGCATAAACGGCAGTTAAGCCACGCGAACAAGTCCAAACGGCAGTTAAAGTTGGCGTAAGAAGAAGGGCTTAATTGCTTTGATAGCAGAGTTCAAGGGCTTATATGCATCAATTAAAGACTAGGGGCTTAATAGCCATTTTGAGGTTAGTTCAGGGGCTTAACTTATGGTTTTGCCTTTTTCATCAATTTCTGGTATGCTTTTTATACAAAACAATACCAACACATTACAATGTTCACTTACAGTTAAATAATAATATAAAACCCATAAAGCAAGGACATGGTACTTCATACAATTAAAGTGAACCCATATTTTTAGGCGAACACTTAACATCAAAGATTACATTAGAAAATCAACAAAGAAACTTCTCAACAACTTAATTGAAACTGAATTGAACATGAATAGTTTGTGTGAACAGTAATTGACAGTACTATTCAATGCTCCTCTTGTCATAACCTGATTTTTCATTCAATTCATTCAAGTTTTTCATAAAAAATAAATAAAATAAATATATATCTAAATCACAAAATTAATCAAAAATCATAAAAAATTTTATAAAACGTCAAAACAACACAAAAATATAGAAACATGAATTTTTCTCTTCTCTTTAACTAACATGTATTTTTTTTTGTTTTAGGTGCTACATGCAAAAAGAGAAAATTTTGTGAAGAAATTTTAAAAAAGAACTTAAGAAAGGGATGTACGTGAAGAAACTAAAAGCTAGGGGTGAAAGCAAAGTTGTCAATACCGTATCGGCATGCGTACTGATTTTGTTACTGGAACGGTACGTACCGGATACCGAAATTTTTCGCGTACCGTTTCGGATTTATCGCTATAAGTATATATTTTTATAAATTAAATATCAAATTTTAAAATAAAATAAGAGATATTAATATTTAAAATTATTATATTTTTATAAATTAAAAATAAGTTTAAAATAATAATTTTTAATCCCTTAACTTTTAATATATACATATTTTTTGTCCATCTATTTTAAATTAAAAGATTAAAAATGTGTGTATTTAAAAAAACTGAATGGAGTAATTAATAGAATGATTAAAAAAAATATGAAGAATGGATTAAAAAAGTATATAAAAAAATTTAAGGATGAAAATTATATAAAATATCAAAATTAAGGACTAAAAATGAAATTTATCTTTTTGAAATTTGAATTGATTTGAATTGTAGCCGGGCAA